ATATTTAATAAATATATTAGGCTTTTAAATGSTTAACATATTTGTATATTTAAATAGTATAAAATGAGAATCAACAAAATTAAATCTAGCTGTACGACGACCTCTTGTTGGGCCTGTTATCAATATCGATCTGCAGACTTGTTTGATATCTGTCTTTGAGAAGGAGAGAACTATTTATATTACTAAAAACTCTCTATAATATGGCAGATACGGTACAAAGAAAAAGTTAGATTAAATTATTTGACATACTTACCGATTCCATGAAATCCATTATTAATCGATTCCAAAAATCGATTATACATTTGTAGATCTTGAATATTTTTAGACATACACCTCAACTGCAGTGCTAAAGACCTTCACACTCTCTATAACAGATCTCTATATGGACAAATACCATCCTCATCTCTCAAACTGCCCGCCAGTAGCTCAGATTCTACACGTGCTGATTGGGTGAGGCGAAATGAAATGTAAGAATGGAATTCACCACTGTTTATGGACAATCATACCACACGCTTTAGCCGGGTTTTGTCTGCTGCCTGTTGCCACAAAATAAACTAAAGAGAATTTCTAAGTTTTCTTTGGCGATTATTTGGGCTTCGGGCCATTTGCAGTTCAGTCTTGTGAGGGCGCTTGAAACTGTAAAACGTGTCGAGCTTTGTGCCAGTCAATATAGAAATATATATATAGTTATATATAAGCCATATACCATATGCACTCATATACAGTCCCAGGATACTGAAATATTTGCAATTAAATCGTTTTAAAAAATATATATACAGTGACGATGCATATTGCTTGCATCTAAAACAAATCACAATATCAAAAATCAATAAAAAATAAATAAATATCTGAACAGCAACAAAATATGCAATTCTGTGAATAGCCAAACACGGAGCAAATATTCTGCATATGCCAGCAAAAATATGTTTACTTCTGTAATCGATGCAGTTATTTTATTTACGATGTGTTCGCACCAATTTATAAAGTAAACGCGCAAACGAATGAAACACCAATAAATTGCTGGAATTTGCATTTTAATGAGTTTTTGCTAAACATAAAAAAAGAGATGGAATTCTGAAGGCTTAACAGCCAACCTAAATATACATATAGTGAAAGAGGCAGACACGAAGTGTGTGAGTGTGAGAGAGAGAGAGAGGCTACGAAATCAATCAAGTACAGCACGCAAACGAGGTAAGTTGATTTAGCATATAATTTATTAATTAGTAAGTCTATGCGCATTGGCAAGAACTGGAGCGTGCAGCAAATCAAAATCGTTGACTCCGTTTTGCACACACACACATTCGCTCTCAACATTCCTTCGACACCCATTCACACACACTCATTGACACGTTGATACGCCTCGTTGAACGGGCAAACGCAGCAAAAATATGTGCAGATAATAGACAAAGCCACAATCAAATAAAGTCATTAATAAAGTTAAAAGCTTTTATATATATTTATATACATAATACGGCATTGTTGTAGGTGTAGATATGAAAAGGAGCCAGAATGCACAGTTGCGCGAATAACTGTTCAGATTTCGCAGATAATTGTAGATAATTATTTAGATAAGTCAGTTTTGGGTATTATTATTNTTGAACATTTTTAGACCTGGAGTCTTCAAATTTGTGTTGTATATAAAGTTAATCGATACAAAGATTTTGTAATTTACAGATTTTGGATACCACGCCCCCTTCTCCCCCAATTTGTAAAAAACGCATTTCAAGTACTAGAGACTTGTGCTTTGGAATGTACACACATATTTACCATATGATTACACTCTGAAAGTTTCATTAAGATCATATGTTTACAAAAGAAATTATTCGACAAATAAATTCTCATAATATTGCCCACACTGCAGCGCAGCCCAAGCGCAGTCGCTGCTTACTGCGCAGTTAGCAGAGCGCAGGCTTATGCGTGCGTGTGGATGCATCTGTATGTATGTGTGCATAAAAGAAGTGCAGAATGATTAGAATATCAGATTAGAGGGTTCAGGGTATCTCCTAGTCGAGCAGTCTCGACTAGAGCTTTCTTACTTGTTTATTTTTTTTTTAATTTGTACATAAATATATTAGCTTTCTAAATATGCAATATATTGTATCAAGTATACGCAAAGTGGACCAACAAATTTTTATATTTTTATATATTTATATCAAATATTCTATATATGCCAAAGACTGTTTAGGATTAAAAAAAAAATAAAATAAAATAAATAAATATATAAATGAATGACCAAATTAAGAAAAGGCATTTATGCAATATTCTGTCATCATTCTTTCATCAGAGTTAGAGAGATATTTCCTATTTTCGCATAACTAAAAAGTGATTATGTCTCAGCTCTAATAAACTGCCACCGATTCATAACATTTTCATGTCGAATTCATACATTTGTGCCTAATTCCATCATACTTATGTAATTGCAATTTAGTAAATTCAACCAAAGTAATTCTAAATTCAAACAATATTGCCCATTATTTTCCATTTAAATTATGATATTATAATTAATGCACACATTAGCTTCACTTTGACATAGACAGCATAGCTATTTATTTGACTTGGCCACACAAACATATCGCTTATACATATGTTCATTTCAATGGAGTTAAGCAATTAGCAGAGCCTAAGCCAAAGCGCATGTGGAGTTAGTTTCGCTTCGTGCTAACCTCAGGCATGAACTTTGTCACCTCATGCCATCACAGCCAGTACTTATCATAAAACGGCTTTAACTAATATGCTAACAACAAACGCAATAACAGCAAACAACACTAACAACAATGGCAACGACAACGACAACGACTACAACTACAACTACAACGACTACATGTCCACCTTTCAGCGCATTGCATATCGAGTTGCCTTCAGAAGAGCTTGGCAAGCAATTCGAGCGCCTTGACTTGTGTCCATTGAGCTCACATAATCGCACAGACGCAGGCAGAGCAAGAGAAAGAGAGGCAGTGTGAAAGAAAGAGTGAGAGAGAGAGAGAGAGAGAGAGAGAGAGTGTGAGATAGAAAAGGTAGAGTAAGCGTGTTCAGCCTCTAGTACCCATGCCCTGCCTTGGGGTATCGCATTTTAATGACCCACTTTCGAGCTCAAGACTATTTAAGTTTCGCTCGTATTGGTTTGCTCTAATTCCGAGCAGTGCAAATCCCAGTGGAGAGCAATTAGTATGGCCATTGGCCAGCACAACTGCAGCATATATTGTCAAGGAAATTGCAAAAGAGTTGCCGAACGGTCATTGGGGGGCTTCGGGGTTGCCGCACTCACTGCAACAACAGCAGCAGCAGCAGCAGCAGACAACAGCAACAAACAATACGTGAATAAAGTACAATAGATATACAATATATGTATGTATGTACTTATGTTGCAGACAGTGAAAGTCAGCAGATGTTGACAGCAATTGAAAGACCACAAGACAGCAAAACTAAAGAGAGGCACACAAATAAATGAAAAATGAAATTAATAGAATTAACGAGTGCAACAAATTCGATT